GTATGATAGCAGTGTACCTACAGTTAAAAAAAAAAAAGCGGGGCAGCACTTTCCTTTCAGCCACATCCTCCAATTTAATCCATTCTTTAAGAGATCCTTCTGAGAATGCATTTTCTCCCTTTGTTGTGAAATCCCAAAGCTTATCATATTAAAAAACATCTGATACATTCAAGTTATTTGAGCAGGGCCTAGTGAGGGAAAAGGGAAAGAGTTTGCCACGAGAAAATAAGTCCAGCGCTGTTTCTGTTCACAGAGAAGTCACAGGATCACAGGGGGGTCAAAAGGGAACTTTGGAGAACAAGAAGACCAATGCCCTGCTAAAGCAGGATGCCTGGGGAGTCAGACTCCATGACCCCCCTGGGCAGCCTGTGCCAGTGCTCTGTCAACCTCAGGAAAAATTTTCCTCATGTATGTGTAGAGCTTCCTATGCTCTAGTTAGCACCCGTTGCCCCTTACTCTGTCATCGGGCACCACGGAAAAGAACCCAGCCCCATCTATTTGACTTCTGTCCATTAGATATTCATAAGCATTAGTAAGATACCCTCTCATAGAATCACAGAATCATAGAATGGCCTGAGTTGAAAAGGACCACAACGATCATCTAGTTTCAACCTCTGCTATGTGCAGGGTCACCAACAACCAGACCAGGCTGCCCAGAGCCACATCCAGCCTGGCCTTGAATGCCTCCAGGGATGGGGCATCCACAGCCTCCTTGGGCAACCTGTTCAGTGCGTCACCACCCTCTGTGTGAAAAACTTCCTCCTATTATCTAACCCAAACCTTCCCTGTCTCAGTTTAAAATGATTCCCTCTTGTCCTACCACTATTCACTATAAACAACCGTTCCCCCTCCTATTCATATGCTCCTTTCAAGCACTGGAAGGCCACAATGAAGCCTCCCCAGAGCCTTCTCCTCTTCAAGCCCAGTTCTCCTCATAGGAGAGGTGCTCCAGCCCTCTGTTCATCTCAGTGCCCTCCTCTGGACCCGCTCCAAGAGCTCCACGTCCTTCCTGTACTGGGGGCCCCAGCCCTGGACGCAGTGCTGCAGATGGGGCCTCACAAGAGCCGAGCAGAGGGGCACAATCACCTCCCTGTCCCTGCTGGCCACCCCTTTTTTAATGCAGCCCAGAATACAGCTGGCCTTCCAGGCTGCAAGTGCACACTGCTGGTTTACATCCAGCTTCTCATCCACCAGGACCCCCAAGTCCTTCTCCGCAGGGCTGCTCTCAAGGAGATTTGCATAAATGCCTGAGATTGCCCCGACCCAAGCGCAGCACCTGCACTTGGCCTTACTGAACCTCATTAGGTTCTCATGGGCCCTCTTCTCCAGCCTCTCAGTCTTTTCCAGACCCAAGAGTCCCAGGTCTCTCAGCCTTTCCCTTCCTGGGAGATGTTGCAGGCCATTAATTGTCTTTTTGGCTCTCCACTGGACTCTCTTGAGGAGATCCTTGTCCTTGAACCAGGGAGCCCAGAACTGGACAAAGTATTCTCAACGTGGCCTCACCAGGGCAGAGTGGAAGGGGAGGATCAGGATACCCAGATCCTTCTTGGCAGAGCTCCTCTCTAGCAGGACAGCCCCTATCCTGTACTGATGCATACAATTAAGCCAAGCAACCAGACACAGGTATTTTGTTCAATGATGTCAAAAGCAAGATTTAAGCTCTATGATAAAGCCAACTGTGAATACTGGATAAAATTTGTTGGTCAGATGCAAGCAAACTTGTTTCGAAAAAGACCTGTGTAGCTAGAGAGAAGGGAGAAATGTGGAAGTCTGAAAGGAAATAAATCATCTGTACAATTTCCCTGATCAAGGAGACATAAAATCTCCAACAATTAAAACACTGAAGTTACATCAAGTAATCCATGAATCCTCCTTTCTGTAACTTACACCTACTATGCCTTGTAGTGTCTCTCATACAGAGATGAGAATACTCCTTTCCTCTTTCCTACACTCTTAAATTTAATCAGTGCCTGTTTCATACCTTCCCATTCTTTTCTTTAGGCTACATAATGTCAAAAGTTGGCACTTACTAAATTATAAAAATTTGAGTTTCTTTATCTGTATCATATTCCTGAACACGCAGCCCTGAACTATTTGTAAGACAAGATTATGATCAGCAGTGCTACAAGCAGTTATCGAAAGAGGCAGTTCATCATGACAGAAGTACTGGGGAGGGTCTTTACATCCAATAGGTTCTAGTTTAACTTATCCTGCAAGAATCATATAATCACAGAATTAGTCAGATCAGAAGGGACCTTGGGAAGTCTCTTTTCCAACCTCCTACTTCAAGCAAGTTCAACATGAAATTCAAACTAAGCTTGGAGTTCTGCCCAATTTGTTTTCACGGCACTAAGGAACACGATTTAGTAACTGGACTCAGTAAGTCAGGTCAATGTTTGGACTTCATGATCTTGTAGTTCTTTTCCAACCTGAATGACTCTATGAAAACCTCAAGGGATAGAGATTCCACAATAGTTCATGGCCTCTTCATCAAGATTCAAACTCAGCAAAGTGGTAACGTCTGATGTAACGTAAATCTACACACAAAATTTTGTAGTGTAAAATGATGTGCTCTTCCCAACCACACCACTGTCTCTGACCTATCTTTGCACTCCCAGGACACCACTGTGCTATTACTGCCTTTTTGCAGACACTGAATAGCATCAGACACATTCAGAGACTTACCTGAGTAAGAGTTCAGTAACTAAATAACTTTAAAATCCCATGCTAAGCATCTTGTTTAAAGTGACAGAAGATACAAACAGAACAAAACTGAGCTTCCCTCTTCTGCTGAAGGCTGATGGAAAGTGAACCATTTCAGTGATAACTGAAGGGAAGAATAACCTCATTCTTCACATGGAAAAGTAATAGTGTAAAAGCAAGGCAAGTTGAATATATTTTGGATATTCAAGTCTAAAACCATTTCATATGGTTATCTCCTTTTCTACAGCAATTCTTATTCTCCATCCTGTTACTTGGAAAACAATAACATGTGATAAATTTTTCAGTGCTGCAAGGGAGAATACCCTTAAGAAGATTTTACTTCAACATGGTGTACAAGAGGAGAAAATAACTCCTGAGTAGACCTCACAAAGACAAGAGATCTTTGTTTTTTCAGTTAAGAAAAATGCAAGCCACTCACCCATGTGTGGAAGAGAAGTGAGGATGGTTACAGAGATGGACCAAGAGATGGCAAGTGGCTGTGCAAACTGATGTACAGAAGGTAGAGGAGCAAAAAACCACATGGGATGTTCACAGCAACTGTAGTACAGCAGTGCTCACTCTGTTTCCTAAAGAGGCTAAAATTGGGCTCAACTTTTTACAACTCTAAAAACAATCTGTATGATTTATACACACATACAAATATATTAGAAGATAAAGGAGAAAACTAACTTTGGCATCTAGAAGTGATATCTAGACAAACTATAAGTAACTGAATTGTGGGAATGCTTTACAGTGTTTAATGTTTCCCAAGTTTCTAAATTAGTTTTGGTGTTTTTACCAAAAGTATCTTTCAGACTTAGATCTTTACTTTCCTCTTCATTTTTAAAGCTCTCAAAATTCCCACAGTTGAAGACACTGTGTTAGTCAAGCTAACCACATGGTCCTCATTTCCTAACCAAGACGATGAAACTGTGGCTTGAGTCATCTCATATGTACTGCACACACAGGTCCAAACGCAGTCTATTAACTGGCTCATTCTGAAGCAAAAGAGAACCAAAAAAAGGACAGAAGATGAGCTGGCACAAGGCAGATGAGTCTTCTGAATTGAGAGGAATTTTGCTGATTGATAATCAGCTGACAATCTGACCCAACATGTTGACCCAACAACATTTGCTTTATAAACAACACACTTGCTCTGCCAGGAACCAAACTACTTTCAAATGGATGCACTGGGCTGCAAAGCCACCAGAAATAATAGTAAAATTAAACATGTTTTCTGCTTTTTTCCTTGTAAAAAAGCCATCGTTGTAAAATATGCAAACATTTAATTTCCCATGTTTTTCCACTACCTATGCAAAAGATTATTTTCCTGAACACAACTGAGTCGGTAGGAATTAAAAAACCAGACAAGTATAATCACCACATCAGCTCATTTTCAAGCTAGTTTCACAAGGATCTGTGGAACTAGCTAGTTCTGGCAATACTGTCAACCATATGAAAAATATATATCCTGGATCTACCAAAGATAAAACAGAGATGATGCACGCAGGTTAGGACATGCATCATCTCTGCTTTTGCCCCAGGTCAGCTTACCATTCAAGTCCACTGTGTCAAAAAGCATAGCATTATTCATTCACTTGTACCTGGATTCTAAAAATCTCAGCCACTCTACAGACTTCTTCAGAAAATTGTTATCTCCAAATCTACCTCTTTGGATACAAGTCATTCCAAGCAACCGTAACTGCGTAACTGTGGATTTAGAACCGATCCCTATCTCACTTCCCAGAAACTAACTATTTGAACTCTTTTGGTGGTGGTGGATGTTATAGTCAACAGTCGAGTCTTTAGTAGATCACTCACCTTCTAATATGCTGTTTCCACAAAAAAAAAAAAAAAACCCAAAATGTATATAATTGTAGTGATTTATACTGAACCTAAGAGCATTACAACCTGAGATTGAAAAGAACCAAAACTTATCAAGAGATCCTGAAGCAAATTGGGATGAAAAAGAGCACGTGCCTATCAGTTTGACTAATGCTTTGATGACAAGAGGTTTGGCTCCAGTCTGTTCTGCATGTTTGTGCTCCTTTGAGCTTGCCGGCAGCAGGCAGGATGGAGAAGGAAGGACTGCTGTCCTACACTTAAGTGGCTCTTCTCAACAATGGCAATTTTCTAATGCTAAGTCATTGTTAGCAGTCTTGCAGTAATCTCCTATATGTCTTCCCCAAATTTAGAGGGCTTGCAGGCATTCCTTGTCATTGCAAATGCTTTCTGTCCCTTTCCTTCCTCCCACAATCCCCATTTCCAGAGCAAAACTCAGTGTCCAGGTGACTCACCCCTAACATCTGATGCAGATAGTAATACTGCAGCCCTCGGCGGTACAGCAGGAAGGTCTTCCAGAAGAACCACACGTTCAGTGAGAGCCAGAAAAACTAAAATCAAAAGAAAAGAGTCTGGAAGTTATATGTACAGACTGCTGTATTAATTCTGTTTGTAAGTCACATGCGTGTACTTTCATAACGATTTTTAAATGGAAAACAAGCTTAGTGCAGCTAGCAAAAGTATTTTAATAGCAATGCATGCGAAAGGACAGCCTTTAGGTGAGACGTTTCCACTGACACCGAAAACACAGAAGTAAAGTTTAACAAGTGAGGGCGAAGCACGAAACGCAGCTCCAGGATCAAAGCACAAAAACCGAGACAAAAGCAGGAGGAGCAGGACCTGCGGACCCCTCTTCTCCCCCAGACTTTGCCCACAAGCGCTAACAAAGAGCACCCGCTGCCCGCGCCCGGACACGCAGCGCCGTGCGCCCGCCCACCCGGCGCCGGGTCCACCTCGCGCGCGGACGGGAAGCGGCGCCCCTCAGCGCGGGGCTGCGCGCCCCCGTCCCCAACCCCGAGGCAGCGCCCTACCAGAAAGAGGTGCTTGCTCCCCTCATTAGCCAGCCAGCTCCTCCATGACACGGCCATGGTGCTCTGCCCGCCGCCCCCACCACGAGCAACGCCGGCGGGGCTTGCGGGATGCCGGCGGTGGGGGCGACGGGCGAGCGAGCCCTCCTTTTCAGCCGGGCCGGGCCGGTCCTCCCCTCTCCCCACCCCTCACCCCCCGCCCTGTCTTCCGGCCGCCGGGGCGTGCGCTGCGGACGGGACTCGTCAAGCTCCCCGTGGGGCCCCGGCGCTTTGTCCCGAGCGGAGCGCGCAGCGACCGCCCCCGGGCGGGTTCGGGGTCCCCAGAGCCTCGTCCCCGACCGGCGGTGCGGGACCGGAGCGCTGAGGTTCGGCGCTGCCCTGCCCTGCTCTGCCCCGGCAGACTCCTCGTCTTCCCCCCACCTGGAAAAGCATCGTGGTCTGCTCCCTGCCTTACAGCCCCAGAAAGTCGGGGAGCGGTGTGGAGTGCGAGTAGAGGGGAAACAAAGAGACTGCCTGAGGAACGGGCTGTGTGTGGGGTGCTTGGAAATGGGAAGGGGCAGATTTGGCTGCTGTGGGTTTGACTCTGCTCCCTCAGGTGTCCCTGGGAGTTTAGGGGAGAGGTGGGTCCTTGTGCACTGGTGGATACCATGTCCCATATGGAGTGGGTTGGGTTGAAAGGGACTTTAAAGGCCAACTTTATGCATGCATCAGTACGGTTCAGGGGCTGACCTGGTGGAGAGGAGCTCTGTGGAGAAGAATCTGGGTAACCAGATGGTCAATAGGTTGGCCATGAGTTAAAAGTGTGCCTTGGGCCAGAAGGCCAATGAGATCCAAGTATGCATTAAGTGTGGCCAGCAGGATGAGGGAGGTGATCCTCCCACTCTACCCTGCTGAAGCCACATTGAGAATAATGTGTCCAGTTCTGGGCTCTCCAGTTCAAGAAAGATGGGGATCTCCTTAAGACAGTCCAGAGGAAGGCCACAAATGCATTTAAGGGCCTGCAGCATCTCCCATGCACGGAAAGGCTGAGAGACTGTTGCAAATATCCAAATAATTTTCTAGGACGGTTTCTCTGATAAAGCAGATTTTATTCGCAGTTGCAATGGCGGGCTTCCTGCAAGCAGGAGAGCCCAGAGAAAACAGTGCTACGTCTTTTATCCCCTACTGCCCAATGCTGATCTCTTTCTCCCCTGGCTCCTCACTGGCTGAGTACTGTAGGTTCACACTCTTTCCTGACGCTTCACTAATCATACAAATAGCAAGTACACACAAATCCTTGCCTTCCAAACACAGATATCTTAATTGGTTGATTGCCTTCTAGTAATTACTTTCTTAACAAACGTTTGGTCGGATGTCTGTTTTGCAACATAAACATAGCCTCTTAATTGTTTCATTACTCCCCTAACATTTGTACCCCTTTTACACTGGGTCATTGTTCTGGTCATTCATCTATCCTTGCATAGAGATAAGCTCAGAAGGAGGATAGAGGGGAGTATCTTGGTGCCCGCCTATGGCATCCTAACATTCTCACAAGGTGGGACAGTTCTGCTTTGTGTAAAGACCCTGACTCCTTGAAAGTTTGTTAAATGTATATAGCTTCTGTTGGTCTAATGAACAACTTTACAATATGTTTCCTAGTTCAGAATACTATACCCCCATTGTTTAGAACATTTAAAATCTATTGCAGCTTTGTGAGAAATAATTTGTTAGGTAATCCAGTAACTATGTTTTAAAATATGTTACTAAAATGTATATGGTATTCTTACTTTCCAAATCAGCTATTTCTAAGGATATGTTACTGTTTAATTTTTTAGATCGTTTGCTCTTTTCAATGTTCAATGCAGAAACAACACTTTCACTTTCCACAGAGACCAAGTGCTCTTGAAAGTGGAGAAGACTGAGAGGGCATCTTATCAATGCTTATGAATCTAGGGCAGGAGTCAAGTAGATGGGGCTGGGCTCTTTTCAGTGGTGCCCAGTGACAGAGCAAGGGGCAGTGTGTAAGAACTAGCATAGAAGTTCTATATAAACATGAGAGAAATCTTTCCTGTGAGGTTGGTAGCGTGCTGGCACAGGCTGCCCAGAAAGGCTGTGGAATTTCTTTCTCTGGAGGTATTCAAAACTTGCTTAGACACTTTACTGTCTGACCTACTCCAAGGGACCTGCTTTAGCAGGGGGTTGGACTCAGCAATCCTCAGAGGTCCCTTCCAATTCCTACAATTCTTTGATTCTGTGATCTGATTCCAACCTGCCATAGATAGGGACACTTCTCACTAGCCAAGGTTGCGCAGGGCCCCATCCACCCTGGCTTTCAGCATTTACAGGTATGGGGCATGATCCAGCCCCAGGGAGGAGTACCCACAGCAGGTCCACATTCAGAATGTTTCAGGTTATGATTGCTCTACCTTGCAATCAGTGTGCTTTCTGTGGTGGTCTTCATGTTTTGGTTTGGCGTAGTTTTTTGTTGGATGAGGGTTGCTCTGGGTACTAGCCTTTACGCTAAAACTTGAAAAAATCTTTGTTCCAGTAGCTTTTAAATGCAGCCTCCTCACTTGGAGAACTGCATCTCTATAGCAAGCATCATGCTGTTCAGGCTGCTCTTTGAGACATCAGCAGCAAGGCTGTTTCTTTAGGGGATGTTAAGTCTGAGTAGCAGCCCAAAGAGTTCTTATCCTGTCCAGCTTGAGCTGGTTATCCACCTCTTAAAACTGGGTATGTGACCATGTCCATAAGGAAGAGGCACATGTAGAATGATAGAAGTATAGAATGGCCTGGATTGAAAAGAACTATAATGATCATCTGGTTTCAACTCCCTTGCTATGCGCAGGGTCACCAACAACCAAACCAGACCAGGCTGCCCAGAGCCACATCCAGCCTGGCCTTGAATGCCTCCAGGGATGGGGCATCCACAGCCTCCTTGGGCAACCTGTTCCAGTGTGTCACCACTCTCTGTGTGAAAAACTTCCTCCTAATATCTAACCTAAACCTCCCCTGTCTACCCATTTGTCCTTGTCCTATCACTGTCCACATGTGGTCAAGATTGTATTCTAATGACTAAGGTCCAGAGAAAACTGAGAGAAAGCTAGGCCCCATCTTCCTCTCCAGTCCCTTTGAAGATGGACAGAGTACCTGGCCCATAAGAAGCCTGAAGTTTAAGGACTAAGTAGGACATAGCTGTTGTGAGGCTTAGATGGAGTTTTTGGCTGTCTTAGAAAGTAGCTGAATTCCTTCAGCTGCAAGTGAAGTTTTGGATCAGTGAGACAGAGGGGTGCAATTATTTTCCATCATCAAATGACACTAGAAGGAGAGTTAGTGAAAAGGAGAATGCGTACTTTGAAATTCAAAACTCACCAGAACCATAGTTTGACGCCAAAGCAGCTCTAACCACAGAAGAAACGCTTTAGCTTATGTATCGTTTGCTATTTCCATTCACTTCCATCTTTCTACTAGAGTGTAAAAGACATGGAAGTTGCTTACAGAGAACAAGGTGATGTGGCTTTCCTAGACAAGTACATCAAAGCCAGAATGACAGAAAATAAAACTTGTAGGATGTTTCATGCCTAATAATGTGGGGCCTTGACTAAAGTGTATGCCACAGCAAGTGCAGACAAAACCAAAATAATTTGCTTGTGCCGTAGACCATGGGTGTCCAACCTTTTAGCTTGTCCAGGCCACACTGAGTGAAGAGGAATCGTCTTGGGCTGCAAATATGTAGGTCACTCCAAAAGTGATTGATGTCTCTTATTCATTTCCGTGGAAACTGCAACAGATACAATAAACACAGTAACACTGATAGAGTAAATTCTCAGCTATAAAACACCTTTTTCAATGTAGTCATCACCATTAGCTCTCCATTTTCATAAGCAATGAACAGGAGCCTGTATGCTGTCCTCATAAAAGCCTGCACCAGTGGAGGTGAGGAGGTGACCTGCTGTTGCCAGTGCTGAAACGCACCACCCACTGCCTGACTGTGCTCACATCCACTGTTTGGTCTCCATTAACATTCAGCAAGCATTGATGAATGTCAGTGGGTGCTATATTTTCTGCATGGAGGAATTCAGTGACACACCTTCACTTCATACATTCTTTCATGTCAGGTGCCATTCTGTCAGACTGCCCCTCTGCAGCCATCTGTCACACAGCCACAAAATGTAATGGAATACTAGCATGAATAAAGTGTGACTGTGAAATGAGGAATATTTCTATCTGTTAAGATAGGTCTTTTGAAAGCCCCGTAGGGAGACATGATCGGATTTTTGAGCTGAATGTCTGATAGCAACTCTATAAATTCCACTTGAAAATTTGCAGGTCATGCATTTATTCCAACAGAAAATGGAGTGACAAATAGACCAACAATACATATATATATATTTTGCAATCTTCAAGCTGGTTCTCAAATTCTTTTATCACAATGGAAAGCAAGGCTGCATATTTGTTGCTGTTCAGAGGGCTGTTTAGCCCGTGAATCAAAATGCATAAAATTATTTTCCATAACTTGAGTTAGCACTGCACTTTTCCCTCTCCTTGTCCTGGTTTCAGCCCAGGGTAGGGTTAGTAGCACACCAGTGTCTGATCATTGCTGGTATATGTGTGCTGCCTCCACAATGGTGTGGGGCAGGAGCACGCTGCATTGTAAGTTGTGCTGGGCTGCATGCAGGCTGTGAGTTGGACATGCCTGCCATGTACTATACTTCAAAATACTCGTAGATATATCTCTGAAAAATCAGCTTATGCAGGATTTGACTGCCCACTCACATGAAGCTGATGACTCACGCTCCAGCAACTGTACTTCACTGCCCGCTTATAAGCTCCGTACTGCATGTAGAATATGTGACTCATGCTTTTGTCGATATTGGATCCTACACCATTCCTATGTACAGAGCAAGGAATGTCTTTTCGTCTTTGATTCTATAATTCTATGAAAACATTTCCTTCTCTTTCTCCCTGCAAACATCCAAGCGTTTTGAATCAGTATCCCAGGTTGGCAGAGATGAGTGTCAGAGCTCAGCACAACTTTGTTCATCCTCCATAGAAAAAGCTGAGTTTGCAAGTGGCTGAATCAACACTCCTT